GAAACATACGTGGCTCTTCTCTTAAATTTTGTCTAGGTAGAGAAACTTGCAAAATGGGTAAAACACCGTCCAATTTAATTAGTCTTGACTCTTGAGCAATTAGCCATCGAACATTGAATTTCAAGAACCGAAGAAATATATTAAACCCTAGCTAAAAGTGATATGGGGGCTGATTGTTTTACGGTCTCTAGCGATCGCGGCCAAACGTTGTTTAAAGAAACCGTATCACTTTTTTGAAATATATTAAAGTTTCATTTTTTGAAACGTAAGATTTTTTAAAATGATACATTTTAAATTTAAAAACTGGTCGTAGTGATGAATCATAATGATAAGTGATAACAAAAACGATCAACAATATATGAAATTGCTATCATTACATTAGTCGCTAATTGCTTGCATCAGCGACTGTCAAACGAACATTGTTTATTGAATTCTTGTTGGCTACTATAGAACTAAACTAGACCGGCATGTAAATCAGTAAATGTATATATATTTTCTTTTATAATTCGGACTCCGATCTCAAGTTGAAATTATATTTAGACACGACAAGTGTTCGGATGTGTGATAGTGGTCTGTCGTAAGGGACACTAAGGGTTGACTTAGATGAATGAAAAATCAAGGACTGAGACAGTGAGAGAGAAACCAGTACGTGAACTAATAAATATGTAGATAAGCTCTAACTAATTTTGACTTATCCGTTCTTGTGCGTGAACCTCGGTTTTTTAGATGAAGAAAAGTAGAAAGCAGAATCAAACTATGTGCCGCTTAAAAAAGGTTTTAATAAACAATCCTCTCAACTATCACCGGATCTCGTAAAATTTCCTCAACTATTTTTTTTAATAAAAACACTCTTCAACTATATTTCGTTAGTGAAATTAACCCTCCGTCTATAATAATATTTAATCCCAATAAAAATTGTTATCTTTTCTTACAAAAACGACAAAACGTCTTAAATATTGACCAAAACATCAAGTTGTTACAGAAAAACAACATAAATGCGCAAGGAAGAATTTAGTTGTAACTT